AGTTAACGTTCTCTTCCAGCTAACTGATATCACAGGCTAGGTAGTTGTAGGTAGATGACAAGTTAACGTTCGCTTTCAGCTATCTGGTGTCACAGACTAGGTAGTTGTTGGTAGATGACAAGTTAACATCCACTTCCAGCTAACTGATATCACAGACTAGGTAGTTGTAGGTAGATGACAAGTTAACATCCACTTCCAGCTAACTGATATCACAGACTAGGTAGTTGTTGGTAGATGACAAGTTAACGTTCTCTTTCAGCTAACTGATATCACAGACTAGGTAGTTGTTGGTAGATGACAAGTTAACGTTCTCTTTCAGCTAACTGATATCACAGACTAGGTAGTTGTAGGTAGATGACAAGTTAACGTTCTCTTCCAGCTAACTGATATCACAGACTAGGTAGTTGTTGGTAGATGACAAGTTAACGTCCGCTTCCAGCTAACTGATATCACAGACTAGGTAGTTGTTGGTAGATGACAAGTTAACGTCCACTTCCAGCTAACTGATATCATAGACTAGGTAGTTGTTGGTATATGACAAGTAAACGTTCTCTACCAGCTAACTGATATCACAGACTAGGTAGTTGTTGATATTATGGGTTTAATATGAAAATGAGAGAAATATTATGAATAGTCTATCTAGATTCGCCATCAATAGATTAAATTAGAGAGAAGTAATAGAATAATGTCAACATAACGGTATAATACTGACAATACTCAATATAATATAATCTCCGTATAACAGCAAACAAAAATACCCAGATAAAATTCTACCCCAACCTTTATTTCCGACATTATCATATTCCAAAATTATTTGAGATATTAAGTCGGATTTATTTATCATCATGTCGAAATTTTAAGATTTTGTTTCTAGAAGTCGATTTACCAGTGCACTTCAGTATTCATTTTAATAAACAATATTTTTTTTTTATTTTCAGATGGTTGCAAAGGGCACTGTAGGAATTCTGATTGTTCTGTTTAACACAATCTGTGCTAATATTGATTTAAACTATAATCAAGTCCCTGTAGCCAACCCCTTGTTATTTGGACGACGTGGAATCAATCCGGACATGTCCAGTTTATTTTTTGGTAAGAGGAGTGGAAACAGTGATCACAGGGACTTGAGGAAAATGAAAGATACATGTAAAGCGGTGTTATCCTCATGTAAAATATTATTCTCGGATTATGAAGATGATACAGTGAGAAATAAGGTCCAAGATGGATTTGGAAGATTCAAATAAAATAAAAATAATTGTTGATAAACAGGTAAAAAATCTGAAAGGAAGCTTAAAATCATCCAGAATCTCAACAAGTTTAACAAACATAAATACTGGTTAAACCATGTCCACGGACCCCCCACTATCAAGGTGGCTCACATCTGCGTACATAAATTCTAAATTGGACAAATGTACCAGAGTAAATATCGAAAAGGTTAACAAACAATATAAAATAGTCATATCGTATTCTGGGACTCTACCAATGACATTATATTGACTTATACAGGAATTTCATCTTGTTGAGATCATGTCAGAATTTAATAAAGAATGGATTATCAACCTGCAGTGACCGGCAGTATCTCTGAAAATCTGATCTGAAAAACATCGGCTTCGACTTGTTCAAGAAAAAGCTTAGAATCTCTAGAGGATCCACATCTACAATGTCAAGCTATTACTAACTTTATCTTGTACCTTGACTGCAATAGTCACATTCTTGTATCATGGAAGGTACCGATTTGATTGGATTGTATACCAGTAAATACAGCCAATCAGAGCCCTCGACAGACAGATTATAAACACCTCTCAAGAGCTCTGATTGGCTGGATTCGCTATACAATCCAATCAAATTGTTATATTAACAAACTTCCATGATACAAGACGAAGTTTGTAATAACTTGACCTTGTGAAGATGAAGTCGTTTTAGGGCCGTTTTGCAGTTGTCAATATTTAGTCTCGTTATCAACAAACACATCACGTTCAAACAATCTTGATTCGGTCTTCGACAATCTGGTATGAAACCCGAAAATACCATCCTTTTTCTTCCCTCGTTCATTATCAATATCATCTTAAATCTTATTACTATTTATTTCACGTGTATTTTTAGATTAATTGAGAAGTAGAAGAAGAGATTTATCAGAGAGAAAACTTGATATTTAACAGTTAAATAATGTGGATTATTATCAACCATATAATAAACAAAAATAACACAAATATCTTGAATACTTAATCTCTACCTATTGATTCTCGTCAAATAGACAATCAACACATTTCAAATTCCTTTAATTTAAAGAGACGAAAAGCCTATCAATGGAAACTAGAAAAGTTGTTTCTCTCATGATATAAAAGTGGATTATGTGATGGAAACCAGATGTAGAAATAATTATATACTGTTTACCAAGCTATCTGGTGTTTACCAAGCTATCTGGTGTTTACCAACCAAGCTATCTGGTGTTTACCAACCAAGCTATCTGGTGTTTACCAAGCTATCTGGTGTTTACCCAGCTATCTGGTGTTTACCAAGCTATCTGGTGTTTACCAAGCTATCTGGTGTTTACCCAGCTATCTGGTGTTTACCCAGCTATCTGGTGTTTACCAAGCTATCTGGTGTTTACCAAGCTATCTGGTGTTTACCAAGCTATTTACCAAGCTATCTGGTGTTTACCAAGCTATCTGGTGTTTACCAAGCTATTTACCAAGCTATCTGGTGTTTACCAAGCTATCTGGTGTTTACCAAGCTATCTGGTGTTTACTGTCAGCTCAATGTAAATATTATTAAAAAGAGAACTGACTGTATTTATCTCGTTTTATTCATTTGAAGTTGTCGTAAAACTATTTGAGGTAAAAAACTAAAACAAAGTGAAATATAACAGTAGTTACTGTGATCTGGTTATTGATTCAACTCAATTAAATCTGTTTTATCAACAAGTTTGTCTTTTCTTTACCGTCCAATCATCGGAAGCCTTAAGAATCGGTAAATCCTACCCGACTCTATATTGCTTTAGTAACGGTACGATATCTCCAACTTTATGTCTAAAAAGGGGGGTGGGGATATAATATACTACCGTCTCTAAAGGAACATTGCAGGAACCTAATATAGGCCCTGGGCATCATTACAGGGTCTAGTAGAAGTCATTCTTCTTCACGAATCCAACAAGGAGCTCAGCCCTTCTGTTGAATTTAGACTTACATCTCTCCCAGCCTGATAAATATGAGGCTACCAGTTTCTCAGAAGTGTATATACGGATGTGATATCGACCCTTTTGTGTCTGGCTCTAAACCATCTTCACAATGTCAAGCCGACATGCTATTAAGAACTTTGAAGTCCAATCGAGGGGGGTATTTTAGGTACCCCTTCCCCTCACGGAAGACTTTTATGAATTATTACGCATTACAGTGGTACTCTCTATAGAGTTAATGCTATTGCTGCCGAAGGCTCCAATTGGTAGCCTGGAAACACGATTTTCTGAAGTCTGGGAACCTCTTCTAGAATTTTTTTTTAGAGAATTTGACTCCCGTAAACGCGATTTCCTGATATTTCCTGACGAATTTAAGGCTCAGGATTATTTGACTTACTCCCCTTGACCCAGTAAAATGAATTAAGGTAATGGGCGTGAGTGGCGAGGTCAGCATCTTGATTCTGGGGGTAGACTGACTCAATGGGGGTAGGGGAATGGGGGTAGACTGACTCAATGGGGTGGGGGGATGGGGGTCGGGTTGACAACTGTCGAAGATGAATCCAAAATTTGGCAACTCCGAGTAAGTGGGCAAATGGAGCGTGTAAGAGAGTTTGACATGGAGAATTTTTTTGAAAATAGAATTCATATAATTCTGACAGTGACACATATTTTGGGGTAAAAAGTACAACATATTTTTGATTGTTTAACAATTAGAGGTATTTTTAACTCTGGGTCGATTGTTTTAAATTGATTCCTTTATCAAATTTTACAATAACTGCAGATCCACATCCAAATTTTACACTAAATTTATCTACTTCCGGTACAAAAAAATAATCTTGATAAGAAACATTCAAACTTTGTCGTGTATAAAAAATAATTAAGATAGTGACATTAAAATTTGAGGTCATATTTGGGCAGACGAATTCAAGATGTCGACGACTGTGGCAAGTAAAAAGCTGATCAATTCGCCGGAGTCGTGCGTGGATGATTGTTTGAAAGGTCTGATTGCTGTGAATCCCGGGTTGAATCTGCTGGAAGGGCATCGTGTTGTGATACGGTCTGATATACAAGATGTGATCATCAACAAGAAAGTGACGCTAGTTTGTGGTGGAGGGTCGGGTCATGAGCCTGCTCATGGAGGTTTGTATTGAATAAATTATGGTTGTCAAAGCCGAGATCTGATCTATCTTACCTATCTATACATTGGTGTAACCTATTTTCGTGGATATAAGGATTCAACACCGAATTTCGTGAAAGTTAAAAAAACGGAAAAAGTCTTTTATGTCTTAGATGTTTCCTTAGATATTCTACAAAATAATTAAAATTGGTTTATTTCGATTTTCTTTATGAATCCTTCACTTTGACCCATATTTCATGAGC